GATCTTTTGAGGCTTTCATTTCTTTCGGAATGTCACGTAGTGTACCCACAACAGTAATATTTTTATCCAACATATAAGTTGCTAGCGGAACACTAGTGAAGAAATTGTCTATCGTGAGATTGCGACCAGAATTATGAATGCCACGCACAAGAGTTTGTACTACTTCAAGCCCCAGGCTTTTATGTGTAGGTTCTCCGGGCTGGCAACCAAAATAAACTAAACCATCCAAAGCATAACCAGACGTAGATTCACACATCCAAAATATTTTAAATCCATATTTTGCCGGTTTACTTGGCATATATTGAACGAATGTGCATCTACCTCTAAACCCAACGAGTTGTTCATCAATAGTTACATTAGTATCAGGTATAACGCAGGTTTTGCATTGCTGAATGAATAAATCCCAAATGTAGGACACCATTGCTAACTTATCGGTTTCCAAACGCGCATTCCGGGTTCTGTTGTCGTCAAATCTGACGAATCTTCGTATTTCTTCAAAGCGAAATATGGTCATTGTGGCTCGGTATACAGGATTGGCAAATTCATCACAAAATAATTCTCTCGTAGGAACATTCAACTTTGTGACAACTCCCGCATGAATAAGTAAACCACAGAATGCAAGAAATTCATCAACAGTTACATCTTTCCACGGTTTTCCTTTTGCTCCATAAACTCGTTTGCCCTCTAAATTAGTACAGTTCACAATTTCTTGTACAATAACTGGAGTTACAAATGACTGAAACGCTTCTTTTGGTGTTGCAGCCATATGTTTTCTTGCTAGTCCTGGCGCACGCCGAATAATGTTGTGTGATTGAATTTTATTTTTTGGTGGAGGTTCCAAACTTCATACCAGACCACTTGGAGCAGTGTTACCGCTCGTTGAAGGCTTCATCATCAACATCATCCTCTGAATTATCGTCACCATGATCAGAACTGGATCCAGAATACTCGTCAGGAACCGATTCGAAATTTCTATCTTCTGTGTCATCATTTTCTGCTTCTGACACATCACTTTCTTCAGAAGCCAGATCATCACATTCAGCTGCCCACTGAACCAATATTTCTTCATAATCGGGGTCACCAAATTTCACGCTTTTCACATTCCTTTTTGACGCCATTATCATATGTATCTCACAAGTTCACTCAATCCAACATCTATTCCAACTGAATGAAAAACAGCTACACCTACTTTTATACATACAACAGTAATGCACGTTTTAACTTGCACAGACACGCACAATTCCGCGCAGCAGTGTTTGACAAATTATAATAACCCTCAACCTGTAATGAACAAGTTGAAACTTGTTCTATAGTAACTAGTAGTACACGGGCTTCGGAAGCCCGGTTTATGTAAATACTTGAATGTTTTTGAATCAAGTCTGTATTGAATAAAGCCGTGTTTAGAGCATATCTAAATGCTCAAGCCGATAGAAATTATTTTAAGAAAATTATGAGTAACTAAAATCTCGCCGGGCCTGAGAGGCCCGGTTTATGAGTGCGGGAAGTTAACCCCCCATTTTTTTATTTTTAAATTTTTTATTGTTCTAGATTGGTCTAGAGTTGTTCCACGAGAAAACCGAAAAAACAGGTTTTTTGACTAGCCGCCCATTTTTGGAAAAATCAAATTTTCTTTGTTGTTCTGGGTTGTTCTAGTTATTGTTCTAGAAAATCAAAATTATGGGATACAGCATTACGAAGTTATAACTAAAAATAGGTTTGGCTGCCGAAATGTCTAGTTGATTGCTGTGACCATAGTTTTTCTATTATCAATTCCATATTACAAATATATACTTATTATAGCTAACGCAATCTGGAACAGCTATTATTTTCACTAGAACAACTCTCTAAAGGGCACTTTACTCTTTGAAAATTAAAGTTTTTCGAAGTTTCAGTCAGTAATTCTTGTGTCAGCGATTTTGTATTACACAATAAGAATTAAAAAACATAGAACAATCTAAAATAACTCAAACTTTGCCGATTCAAATTGTTCTAGATGTGTTTTACGTTTAACACGGACATTAATTTTGCAAAATCACATAAATTGTTCTTGTTGTTCTAGGTACTTAAAAAGTTTATTTAATCACTGCGGCTGTAGTTCTTTTAAAGTTTTATATTAAAAATTAGTACTTACAACAATTAAAACAATTCAAAACAGCTGTTATTTTCACTGGAGAAACCTTAAATTTGAGTTGTTGTGATATCGGACAGGTTTTGTTGAATAAAAAATTAAAAAATATGGAATAATCTGACCATCTAATTTCCTAAAAATCACCTTTCTCTTTAAACTTATAATAATAAAACATAAGTTGCGATTTAAAGTGTATTTTATTTTGTAAAACAAAGTTATAAATTAATAAATAAACTAAACTAACAAAAGTAGGTTGGGCTGCCAAAATGTCTAGTTGATTGCTGTGACCATAGTTTTTCTATTTTCAGTTCCATATCACAAATATATACTTATTATACCTAAGCAATCTGGAACAGCTAATATTTTCACTAGAACAACTCTATAAAGAACACTTTACTCTTTGAAAATTAAAATTTTTGGAAGTTTCAGTTAGTAATTCTTTCATAAGTTCATAAGTAAGTTTCATTAATATCTATTTCAATAAAAAATAAAAAATATATTGTTCAAAATACTTGCGGATTCGACAGCATATTTCATAGTTTAGCATTTGCCCGTACACACAATTCATTTAGAAATCATGTTGAGAATGTTTGCACAGATTGCTTTAGTTTCCTAAAATTATTTTTAAAAACCGGTTCTAGTAAAGCAACATATAAAAAAAGAACTGAACTATTAACAGGAATAAATTATTTTGGAAGCCAGAAAATTGCCGGCGTAATAATAATGAATGCTATTTCAAATATTGCGTTTCTTTGCACACAACTGTTTAAAGAACAATTTAGTTATTGTAGGACTAAAAACTGCAATAATAGTTTAAACGTTACTTTCCATAAAAACATAATTTTACCAATCGATATTGACATCGTAACAATATTTTGCTATGCACAGCTAAAGCAAGTAATAGAAAACTACATGCAAACTCTAAGTAACAATTGCAAAAAAATGTGGTCTGTTTATAGAAACAACGAATGGAGAGAACAATAAAACAAAATTGAGTGATTACGCACGCAATTTGTTACTCCACAACAAATTCTATATCCCTGCAGGTATCATCAGTTACGAAGGTACTCAATCTTTGAATGATGTAGGACAGTACCCAGCATTTGTGCCCAACAATGCCAATTGGATATTATTTAATGACTTACGAAAAAAATCCGTACAAGTTGAAGAAGCTACTGAAATAAATGCACAAATGTGCATATATGTTTATAAATGAGGAAAGTGATGTAACCGTATTATTCCATGATATTAGTTTATTTACATAATTTAGTTTATTTAGTTATAGTTTACCTTAGAATAAGTTATTGTACTGATATAGTAATACTGATCGAATAGTTATTGTCTTATTTGTTAGTTTAGTTTATTTATTAATTTATTACTTAGTTTATACAAAATAAAATACACTTTAAATCGCAACTTATGTTTTACTATTATAAGTTTAAAGAGAAAGGTGAAACTTGTGATTTTTAGAAAATTAGGATGGTCAGATTATTCCATATTTTTTTAGTTTTTTAAAACTATTATTATATTAAAGGTTGGGTTCACTGATTCAACAAAACCTGTCCGATATCACAACAACTCAAATTTAAGGTTTTTCTAGTGAAAATAACAGCTGTTCTGAATTGTTTTAATTGTTGTAAGTACTAATTTTTAATATGAAACTTTAAAAGAACTAAAGCCGCAGTGATTAAATAAACATTTTAAGTACCTAGAACAACAAGAACAATTTAGAGCAACAAAAAATATGTGATTTTGCAAAATTAATGTCCGTGTTAAACGTAAAACACATCTAGAACAATTTGAATCGGCAAAGTTTGAGTTATTTTAGATTGTTCTATGTTTTTTAATTCTTATTGTGTAATATAAAACCGCTGACACAAGAATTACTGTCTGAAACTTCCAAAAACTTTAATTTTCAAAGAGTAAAGTGCCCTTTAGAGAGTTGTTCTAGTGAAAATAATAGCTGTTCCAGATTGCGTTAGCTATAATAAGTATATACTTCTAATATGGAATTGATAATAGAAAAATTATGGCCACAGCAATCAACTAGACATTTCGGCGGCCAAACCTATTTTTAGTTATAACTTCGTAATGCTGTAACCCATAATTTTGATTTTTTAGAACAATAACTAGAACAACCCAGAACAACAAAGAAAATTTGATTTTTCCAAAAATGGGGGGCTAGTTAAAATCCTGTTTTTTCGGTTTTCTCGCGGAGTTTTTAATTTTTCGATTTGCCGCTTTGGAACAATGTAGAACAACTCTAGAACAATCTAGAACAACAATAAAAAATTTAAAAATCAAAAAATGGGGGGCTAACTTCCCGCTCTCCCCGGTTTATGTATCCTAGGATTAACTGCAATCTTTCCTTTTGACTGAAAGATAATTATTTGGGTTCCCTCAAATTTCGTTCATTTTCAAACTCTTTCAAAAAACGTATCATCCATCACTTCTTTCAAAAGCGAATTGTGTATTACTATAAATTTCAGAAAACTCATTTACAAAATTTTCGGTTAAAAATTCAATTCACATAAAATACTCTTAAAAACCTTGCATTATAAAAAAAGATTAATTTCAATATTTTTTTTTACTTTTCTTACCTTTTTTTTTAAACTTTATTTTCTTGTTTTAACAATAAATTAACTATATTTATAACCATCAATTAAAAACAGTTTCAACTTAATTATTTGTATAATTGATAGTTGACGTGAAATTAGCAATCATTTGTAGTTAAGTTGGTAACACTCGCGAACTGAACAAAATATAAATCCCTGTAAACCTCAATTTATGTTTTAGCCGATGAGCAATTTTTTAATGTGTTAAGATAGTATTTTAATTAAGTAATTTTATTGCTTTTTGTTTAAACAATGAGCTCGGACACGCAGGAAGGCGACACGGTTTCTCAGGAAAACGTCGAAAATGCGGAAAAATATAAAGCGGAAGCAAACGATCTTTTTAAAAGTAAGTAACCTTCAAATATATACATACAACATTTTTAATAAAAAATCTTTCAAATATTACATAATTTTCTGGAAAATTAATCCTCAACTGCATTATATTTTAATTTCCCTTAATATTTTTTTCGAATTATCTCTCCACATTAAAATAATAATGTTAATTAAGTGAGAGTGTGACATAACCTCATATTTATGCACATTTAAATTAATTTTTTTTATAGAGCAAAATTACAATGCTGCCATAGACTTATACACAAAAGCAATAGTATTAAACGATAAAGTTGCTATTTATTATGCAAATCGTAGCTTTGCCTATCTTAAGACGGAGTGTTTTGGGTATGCTTTTTCTGATGCATCCAAAGCCATTGAATTGGATAAAACATACATTAAGGGATACTACAGGAGGGCTGCTGCTAATATGTCACAAGGCAAGTTTAAGGAAGCTTTGAAAGATTATGAATATGTAAGTTTCATTTCATATTTATTAAACAAAAATTGTTTATTAAATAATTTCTTTAAGGTTACGAGAGTGCGGCCTACAGATAAAGATGCTCGAATGAAGTACAATGAATGTAATAAAATTGTGAAAAAAATAGCGTTTGAAAAAGCAATATCTGTTACGGCTGTTACAAAAACCATTGCCGATTCCATTAATTTAGATGCAATGAGTAAGAATATTTTAGTTCAGTTTATATTTTTCATTGGGATTAAATTATTTTTTATGCATTGAATTTACTTTTTTAGCAATTGAAAATGAGTACAAAGGTCCAGAGTTAGAGGATGGAAAAGTAACATTAGAGTTCATGACTGAACTGATGGAATTATTTAAGAACCAAGGAAAGCTGCATAGAAAATACGCTTATAAAGTAATTATAAGTACACATGTAATTTCATATTTTCTAATTAATTAAAATACATTTTCAGATTTTATTAGACGTAAAAACATACTTTATGGAGCAATCTTCTTTAGTCGATATTAAAATAGGTGATGAAGACAAATTTACAGTTTGTGGGGATATTCACGGTCAATTCTATGACCTCATGAACATTTTTGATCTCAATGGATTGCCCTCAACCACAAATCCATATGTATCCTTAAAACAATTTTTTCATAGAAATTAATTTTTATTCAAGATACAAGTACATGTTTTAGTCTGAGCTTTTTAAAAGATTTCTTTTAAAAGAACTAAACTAAACACAACATAATTTTAAACTTCCATGGTCAGTTTTTAACATGATAATATATTATCATGATAATATTCATCTAAATTAGTAAAAAGTATGTGCTTTTTATATAATTGATACTAAAACATCAATTTTACTCCTATAATGAAATTTGAGGGGCAAGAAAATGTCATTTTGACGTCCTCTGCACATCCTAAATTTTGATGAGTAAATTTCAACAATTGAGAAAATACAGGGTGGTTGAGTTTTTAATTGGGAAACTTTATTAACATAAAAAAATATGGGTTGTATAGCTCATTCTTTAGTGGTACTTCTTTGTCTCTTTAATATTTTCCTTAAAGTTAATGGTTTCCATGTAAAAAAATAAAATATCGTACCATGTACCGCTATGTGACGCCATGTTTAGCTAAAATTATTCTAAAAGTTGGCTCTGAGAACTTGTAAGTTTCATTTACAGTGAATCCTCATAATTATTGCGGGTTATTAATAATTTTTGATGGTTATTAAGCAAGAGCATCAATTTTTTAATATTGTTTAAAACAACGTAATTTGTTCAGACAGGCATTAATCTTATTTATGGTTTTTCTTATGAAAATCACAATTAATTTGTGTTATTTAGTTAGTACTACATCCTAGTAAGTGCACAACTTCCATAGCCACGTATAAAGAAAAAAAAATTTTTAATAATAGCAGCGCTTCACAGTGCAATGTAATGTTTATTTTTTTACGCTAAAACTATTATCTTTAAGAACAAAACTAAAGAGACAAAAAAGTACCAATAATGAATAAGCTTTATAACCCATATTTTGTTATGTTAATATTCCATGGCGTTAAGAAGTTGTTATAAAAAATCAAAGGGGTTTGTGAATTTGATCCCCTTAGAGGGCGCTAGGGAAGTTTAAGGTATGGTTGAAAATAAGATATTAACCAGTAGTACATACATACAAAGTTTCAAATTCTGTGGTTTACTCAGACCCGAAATAAAAGATAAAATGTAAATTTTTAGCTCAACTTTGACAGCTCATAGCTTGAAAAGAAAAGAGTTGCGATCCTATGTTTATATAAAAAACTTGTGTTATTTTGGTAAGTACTACGTCCTAGTAAAGTTTTCCAATTAAAAACTGAACCACCCTCCTGTATATGTATACTCGTGATCTTTTTAAATGAAAATTAGAGAAGGATGGCTAGCTCGGAGTCGGGGATGGTCGGGTTGGTTTACTTTGAAACCCTGCGCAAGGCTAAGGGGCCGGAGTAATCACGACGGCCAAAGCAGGTAGAGAAAGAGTAATTTAGAATTTGTCACTACGGGATTTTTAAATAGGTTTATTGTAATAGAAACCAGCTAAATATTCGATTAAATTATCGAAAATAGCATAATAAATTATTTAATGTATTATGTCTTATTAAAAAATGATTTTTGGAAAACAAATAAAAATTGTTCCTAATTTAAATCAATTAAAAGGTCTCTTTATTATTATTAATTTAAAAATAGTCTCTTTATTTCGAGGGTTGTAAAATGACACAAAGGCGGCATTTTTACTTATTTCCGGGAACGAGCGCAAGACAAAATATAAATAAAATAAAATAAAAAAATAGTTAACTGGTTTGTATAAATACTGACATTTATTATTAAACAAATCTTAATACTTTATAATGTTCAGGTGGTGTGTTTTGAAGCCGTATGTTTTCATTCAGATTTGGTAGAGATACGATAATTTAATTGGTTGAAATATAGAAAAAATTAAAACGGAGCAAAAAAACAAAAAACTTTTAGTGACAAAACGTTCTACGTTTTTTAACTTTTGATAAAAGAAGTTTTGAATCACACTGTAATAATATTAATAATTAATCAGTATTAATATCTTAATATATTATCATCATGAAATTGATTTAAATTAGAAACAATAATTGAAACACATTAAATAATTGAAACTGCACAATCAATACAATCGAATCAATTGTTCGAAAATCATCTAAATTAAGTTTTACTGTAATAATATTATCATTTAATATTTTTTCTGTATTTATATTTTAATAGTTATCATCATAAAATTGATTTAAATTAGGAACAATTTTTATTTGTTTTCCAAAAATCATTTTTTAATAAAACATAATACATTAAATAATTTATTATGCTATTTTCGATAATTTAATCGAATATTTAGCTGGTTTCTATTACAATAAACCTATTTAAAAATCCCGTAGTGACAAATTCTAAATTACTCCTTCTCTACCTGCTTTGGCCGTCGTGATTACTCCGGCCCCTTAGCCTTGCGTAGGGTTTCAAAGTAAACCAACCCGACCTTCCCCGACTTCGAGCTAGCCATCCTTCTTTAATTTTCATTTAAAAAGATCACGAGTGTACACCACAATAAATTTTTGTTACTATATGGTCAATAACGTTCATCTTAAAGAAATTTATTTGTGCAATTTTGTGTCAAAAGTATTGTCTTCTATGATCGTTCTTTTAAGATTAAGATACCAGAGTAACAACTGTTAAAATCTACATTCTAGTTAGTAACAACCATATACAGGATGGTCCATTTAACGTGCGACAAGCGATTATCTCAAAAACGGTTCATTTTACATAAAAATGAACCAAATGAAAGTTGTTCTGTGCGAAGGGGGAAACCATATGACGATAACATTTTTTGACCTTGACCTAATTTCAAGGTCATATGAAGGTCACGGCCAATTATTTAAATGGCACCCTATGTTTTTGATTGTAAAATCTGATTCTATGGATAAAAGTAAAATAATTAAAAACAAAAAAAAATACCGTGTGGTTTTGCCAGTACGACGACTTAAACATCTTTTGTAGACAAAATCTAAATAATTTTTTTATTCAAATAGTTTTAAATATTGTTTATTTATAAAAAAAAAATGATTAAACTATACTATTAATCAACAACAAATATAAAATTTATAATAAATGTTCAAATATTTCCCCACCCACTTCAATACATTTATTAACCCTTCTACTAAAACTTTCTTTACATCTTAAAAGGTTTTCTTGGCTACTGTTTCTGCATGCATTTCTTATCCGCTCTTTCATGTTTTCTGGCGTAGTCGGTACTTGGCGATAAACATTATCCTTAAGAAAGCCTCACAAAAAAAAATCAAGATGTATTTAATCAGGTGATCTGCCGGGCCAGAAAATTGGACCACCCCTTCTAATCTATCGCCCAGCATAATCCCGATCTAAAGCTTCATGTGCAATATGTGAAAAATGTGCTGGACACCCATCATTTTGCAGCCACATATTTTGTCTTTTTTCCCTGCTCAAATCTACAAGTAACGTTGGTAAGACGTCATCTCAAAAATTTCAGTACTTCTCCCCATTCAGCATATCATCAATAAAGTATGAACCGATTAATTTATCACCAATTATGCCACACCAAACATTAATCGACCAAGGTCGTTGATGTTCTACTTCACGCAATCATTTCGGATTTTCAACGCTCCATTAGTGTCCTTTGTTTGTAAAAGTAGACCCATCCAAGAATAGCACGTTACCAAAGAAATTCACGTCCAACCGCATTCGTTCTTGTGCCCATTGACAAAATATTAATCGATTTTCAAAATCACCTCCATAAAGCTGTTGATGCAATGAAATGTGGTATGGGTGATACTTGTTGCGCTTTAATATTCTTAAAATGCTGTTCTTCGATATTCCGGCGTCAATTGAGTCGAGTGCCAACTTGAGAATTGACCTCAACGCTAGCAAATACCGCAATTTCCTTTTCTTCCGTAGTTACAGTTGCTCGCCGAGTTCTTTTTCTTGATTCCACATTTCCAGTCATCAGGTAAACATTCTCGATACAAAGCTATACTATTAGCAACTTTTCTGCCACTTTCTCCATAAATAAAAATCATTTCGACTTTTTCTGCCACACTTAGGGTATCCATGATTTAATGACTTAGTTTCAGGGGTGGACTGCGAAATTTTGAACAACCGGCTTCGCTATTATTTTGAAGCAAAAAAATAAAAGAAAATGGTAAATGTACAGGGTGGGCAAATTTGGGTGTTATTATAGGCTATCTCAGAAACTATGAGAAATATATTCAGCAGTATATTCTACTCAAAAAAGTGTCTTAAGAATGTATTAACCCCATTTCTCTAATTTCAAAAATAGACGAAATATGAGCATTTTTTGAAATCACTAAAATTTGACTTTTTGGCTATAACTTAAAAACAAAAGAAGATAGAGATTTGGTCTTTCCGGGATTGGATTAGTCTCGGAAAAAGAGACCGGGACATGGCACCTACTTTTTTTGTATCTCTTATAGTTTCTGGGATAGCCTATAATAACACCCAAATTTGCCCACCCTGTACAGTGGCCTTACATGTTGGGAATGATGTGGTGGACATGATAAAGTATTTTACCTAGCTCTGTATGTAGATATTTAAATATGGACGACTTAACAACCTTACCGTTCACACCACTTGTGAACTAAAAGTTTGCCGTAAGCGCAAAAATTGTGGGATGCTTTTTGAGACTACCTCATGTAGAGGCCAATCTGAAAAAGGGCTGTAAACTATTAGCCGTAAAATCGCAGATTTTTATTAGGCCTTAGTAGAGTTAACTAAATAACATCCCTTACAACAAAGTTTGATAAAATATGTGTTGCATACGATATTTCTCACAAAAATAAGTGTTTCAAAATATTTCATGTACTTCACAAATATTTATTTTCTAATTACTAACATTACAAATTAATTTTACAATTTTTTCTTAACAAATTGTAGCTTTTTAACGGTGATTTTGTGGATAGAGGTTCATTTTCAGTTGAATGCATCTTTACATTGTTCGGGTTCAAACTACTTTATCCAAACCATTTCTACATGTCGCGTGGGAACCACGAAAGTATCACGATGAATCAAATTTATGGTTTCTACGGCGAAGTGAAAGCGAAATATACCGCACAAATGGCTGATCTCTTCACAGAAGTCTACAACTGGTTACCATTAGCTCATTGTTTAAACGATCGTGTTCTGGTGATGCACGGTGGTTTATTCTCGCAAGATAATGTGACTTTAGAGACTATACGTACGATCGATCGGAATCGGCAACCGCCGGAAGATGGACCAATGTGCGAATTACTGTGGAGTGATCCTCAACCGCAAAACGGAAGGGCGCCAAGTAAACGCGGTACAGGATGTCAGTTTGGACCGGATGTTACCAAGGCTTTCCTTGAGTTGAACAAGTTGGATTATATCATAAGGAGCCATGAGGTTAAAAATGATGGGTATGAAGTGGCTCATGATGGAAAATGTATTACGGTGTTTTCCGCTCCAAATTATTGGTAAAAATGATTGTTTATTAAGGGTTGAGTTCATTAATAAGCTGTATATTATTTTTAGCGATACAATGGGCAATAAAGGGGCATATATTACATTGATTGGTAAAGATATGAAACCAAAGTTTACTACATATGAAGCAGTTGTAAGTTTTACAATCTTAACTTATTTACTTTTATTAAGTCTTAATCAAGTTCTTTACAATTAGAGATGCATCAGATAAGAATATTGTTATAAATCACTTACCAAATATTTGGCGTGAAAATTTTAAGGCTTTATTATTGTTTTGAAAATATATATTTAATTTGTTTCAAAGTAATTTTTAACACTAAATCACGGCATTCAAAAATGAAATGATAAAGTGATATATATTATTTTAAAAAGATACTTTAGATGTAATTTGATAAAAAATCCACAATCGTGTAACAAACCGAAATTATCAAATAATTTTTTGCAAATGTTGGTTTATCAGTGCCATATCAACTAATATGATTAGCGTCAAGTTGCAGTCGCACTAGAATATTTGGAAACGTATGCGATTTCATGATTGTTTATTTTCAATAGATTAATTTTGAGTTAACACATAAGATAATGCACCTGGTTTCCAACTCATGCTTTTATTTTTCCAAGGTATTACATAACTACTTAAAGTAAAGTAAGAACTACTTCATACCCACCTATTTTTATTTCATGCATTTTTTGTATAACAACACATCTGTTTTTGATCACTGCACTGCACTTACTGCAAAGAATGCAGCATAGTTAAGTCGTTGAACTAGTTACAAACGGACTTGCGCACTAATACGATCGCTTACATAATCTCTGTCGGGGAATAACCGAACCGAAAGTCGACTTGTTACAATTAGACGCTAACAGTTACAGTTAGCTATATTTAATTCGTATCGTAATTCCCTTTTATCAAAATAACTACGACTATATTTTTTTAAATATATAAACAAAACTATGATTTCATTGTGTTATTTTGACAAGATCGGGTTTTTGTATATGCGAAAAGTTTTATTAAATAGAAAAATTTTACTTCCGTGTTTGGGAGAATTTAAATATCAATATTTAAATATGTTTCAAAATTTACTGGCTCTCTAACATGCCCGAAATTTTGATAAAAAATTGTGCATGAACCAAAGCCCACTTGTGATAAAACGTTATAATATATAACTAGCTATATATCTAGCTTGTTCGCCACTATAGTCTCGCACTATAGACCTTAGCATTCACATCAATTAATCATTCTCAAAATTTATTTCGTCTACCCCGTATGTCACCGAAGTACCTTGTTTTATTACTTATTTTACTGTTAGTCGTTATAACTTTACCGCAGTTTTACGCGAAAAAGTCTTTTGTATCGTTTTAAGAACTATTCGAGAATAATTTTACAAGGACACAGCTCCATTCATAGCTGTTAATTTGAAGTGATGATGGAGACTATAATTCGTAAGTTTGAATTCTACTGGTAGTAGAATTTTCCTATGATACTGATATAAGCAGTCCACAAACATTTCAAATTATTCTAGAATAATTCATTATTATCTCATATGGTTATAATTATATATCTATATGGATATTATCTCATATGGTGTAATATAAAATTTTTTTTTATGTTCACCAACATAACTAAATTTATCTCAATTTGAAGAGACTTCTTCATTTTCTTGGTCTTCACTTTCTTCTTCATCATTATTATCTTCTCTATTCTATTTATCCTGTCTATAACAAGGATAAATGTAAGATTACTTAATTATATGTTAAGTAATTTTTAACTCCCAATTTCTTCTTTCGGCGCATGTTGGCGCAAGATTTCTTTTTTATACTGTGTACACCATACCTTCAACAATAAAAGAATGTTAGGTACAATTGTCCTTTTTTGTTCTTGCGCAAGATATTTAATTTGAGTTTGAATAGTCCGCAAATATAAGTATTTATTGACGTTAATAGAAATGGTTGTAATTTTTTTCAACAATTACCTTTTGATATTCGGAAAGGCAGAAAATGAAAACAGCATATCACACGCTTAAAAATATTAAACGTTTTAATAAATACCGTTATAAAATATTATAAAAAATATAATTAGTTTAATAAAACTACAACGCTTGAAATCTATACATTCATGTTTATGTAATTCCCCTGAATATGCCCGGAAACTAGGAAAGACAGAGCAAATTCGACCCGTCCATTAAGTGTTAAAGGCAACATATTTTTTTGCATATAATTAAAAGGTGCTATAAAAACTATAGCATTTAAAATAACGAAGTTGTGGTCTAAACCGGAAGTGGCGGCCATCCTAAAAGTATTTTAGATCGAAAGTTTCTGATGATTAACCTCTACTACCAAAATTTCAAAACTCTACGAATAGTGGAACCTAAAAAAGTTCTAACGAACCAGTTACGTGAGACACTGTATACAGATGTCCTGGGTAATCAATGCATTATTGGTAACTTACAAGGGAAGTGTCGGGACTGTCTCTCAGCGATTTTGTTGCAATTTGGTACAGCGATAGTATGGCCAAAAATAAGGTTTACGTATTTTTTTATACGTGCTAATAGAGCCCCTGGGGCGAGTTATAAGGGTTGGAAATCAGGGCGAACGATATACAGGGTGTATCGTAAAATAAAATTTTGGCTTAATTTTTTTTTCTCAAAAACCATAACGCTAGAAAAATGAAATTTTGGGAATATGTTTAACTCATAAAATGCACAAAAGAATCGCCCCTTGAAGTTTGTTGCAGTCATTCAGATACACCTGTATATTCGCTGAACAGCCTGTACAGCCTGAAGACGAAAATAGCTATCGAACTGTGGGACATGTAAACTGATATTCATTTTCAAAGACCTTTCCATTGATATATCACACATACAGGTGTTTTAAAACAACGTTTAAATATTTATGGGGGTGGTACTACAGTCGAAAACAAGTCGAAAAATATTAATGAACCGTATCATACCGAATCATATTACTCTCAAAAAGAGATAGTTTCATACTATATCGATTTTCCAAGTATCAAATCTGTAGTAGTTACAGTTTAAAAGAAAAACGTAGAGTCCCAAAAATTTGATCATCCTGTATCTCGGAAACGATTGATTTGCGGATCCATGTTCATTAACACTTTTTGACTTGTTTTCGACTGTAGTGCTACCCCTATAAATATTTAAACGTTGTTTTAAAACAGTTTTCTGGAATATTTTAAAAACTACCCTGTCGATTTTGGCGATATTAAGTATAGATAATTATAATTAGAATCCATTTTACCAGTTGTTTAATTTGTGCAAAGGTAATTAAATTTAATTTTCTCAGTATTGTACTTTTGAAACTGGTTTTATTAATTAATTAAGTCTTACTAGTTTCGGCCCATGACCATCCTCAGAGACTAATTTTACAAGAGTTTACAAAAAGGTCATATCGCAAAGTATTAAGTTTATAGGTGTAATTATTCACATAAAATTCTTTTAAGTTTAAGACTAAATAACAAGTTAACACGTTAAAATTGAAGAACGTTCTTCAACATAAATCGTGGGGAAGACAACTGGTTATGCGTTAGGGATTACAATTTTAAAATATTATCTCGTTGATGCATATTGACATCGTACTGGTAGAGAATAACTTGATCAGAAAATCTTCTAATGAATTTTTTCTATATTTTAAAACCAAGTACATCCAGGGGTTGAATTTGATCTGTTGTCCCTCCAGGTATAGACACTGTTTAAACTTAACATCCGATGGAGTTACTTCATTAATAATTTCAAGGCGGTGGTCACTCCAACAATCCAGTAATAGTTATGATTTGGGTCCAGTGTTTGAGAAATAGACATTTTGTAGTCAATTTTTCATATGAGCAGAAGTCAGTTAACTAGACTTTGATGCCAAGACAAATATGTTATCTGCTTTGAACATTGTACTACCTAACGTATAAAAAGATCATCGTGGTAAATTACATCAAAATCGACAAACAATTTTCGCAAAAAAAATTAATTTTTGGGGTGGTTAAGGTAGTTAACCCCAGCCACCCCTAAATGTCATGTCGTATAGGGTTTCTTTTACTGCATAAATCTTAATTTGCAACTAATTTATGGTTTTCTTCAAAATATTGTTCAAAACTGTAACAATTTATCACATTATTCTTAAGGAAAGGGGTTATCTATCATAGATAACCCCCTTTATCTATCATGGTCAGAGGCAAATAAGAAAAAGCACGTAACTAATATTTTTAAACGTACTATAAGGATACTTAATATCGCCAAAATCGGTACAGTAGTTTTTAAAATATTCCAAAAAACTAGGGGTAGTTTACCCCCGAAGCCTTCAGATATATGTGTGATATATCAATGGAAGGCTCTTTGAAAATGAATATCAGTTTACGTTTACCACATTTCGATAGCTGTTTTCGTCTTCAGGCTATAAGCGAATATATATCTTTCGCCCCGATTTCCAATCCTTATAACTCGCCCCAGAGGCTTTATTAACACGTATCAAAAATACGTAAACCTTATTTTTGGCCATACTGTACCAAATTGCAACAAAATCGGTGAGGGACAGTTCCGACACTTTCCTTCTTAGAAACGGTAAAAGATAAATTAAATAAAAATCTTAAATACGATGAAAATGTTTATATATTTTATTTATTTAGATTTTATTTATATATCGGTGCTACAAATTGTTTCGGAAACCCTTTACATAAAAAAGAGAGAGCAATGTTAAATTATTTTTTTAACAAAAAATGTGTAACCGTCAAGTGTTTATGATGAAAACGTGATATTCATAGATTTAGCCATATTTTTGTTGACCAAAAACATTATTATTAGAAAAACCAGTTATGTATATCAAAGGACGTTATTAAGGATTAAAGGACGTAAAGCGTTCTTTGAAATGATTTAATTTTTAAGATAAATTTTTACGTTAAGAACGCAGAGTAAATAACGTCCTTTGATATACATAACTGCTTTTTTTTACTAATAATGTTTTTGGTCCACGAAAATATGGCTAAATCTATGAATATCACGTTTTCATCATAAACACTTGACGGTAAAGTTTATATACATATTTATTTTTTATACATTTTTTGTTAAAAAAATAATTTAACATTGCTCTCTCTTTTTTATATAAAGGTTTCCGAAGCAATTTGTAGCACCGATTACAGGATGTATCTGAATGACTGCAACAAACTTCAAGGGGTGATTCTTTAGTGAATTTTAAGAGTAGTTTGATATATGAACCATGGGCGACTTCGGCTCCCCTAAGGAGCTACACCCCTCCAAAAATGGCGGAAAATTTTGGTTTAATTTTTTTTTCTCGAAAACCATAAACGCTTGGAAAATGAAATTTAGGGAATATGTTTAACTCATAATAGGGCACGTTTTGATGCTATTTGTACTTTCAACCTACCCTTCTAAACTACTAAACGTAACCACCCCCGTTCAATTTATACCTAGATTTTTTTTATGAAGATGACTAATACATTGGAAAAATTTCAGTTGGATAGATAAAACTATTCTAAAACTTTTTTTTGTTCTTCGAAAATTTAATAATTTCTGAGAAAAAAAATAATTAAGCAAACACTAACTGTGAAGCTGTAGGGTTGTTAATCGAAAGTTGGAATGAATTTTTAATGAAAAAACTTTAGTAGGTTTTGCAATCTTTGTCAGAAATATTTTTGACGTTTAAATGTCAGTGGTTTTCTTATTATTGTTATTATTTTATTTTCCGTCGACCGTGTATTTATATGATTTATAAATATATACAAAATCATTCATTAATGACACCTATTAATAAACGATTTTCTATTAATAAACGATTTTAAGAAAGTCCGACCGAACTAAATAGTAGTCAATTTAATAAATATTCTCCAATGAAATTTGTAATACCGACCCAACCGACCACTATATCTATTCGGTAAGACTACAAAAATAAATTATGACACATTAAAAGTGAGGTTATTTTGCCAGTGACAGAATTGGGAGATTTTTCAACGATGGATTTTCTCTATTTTGTTGAAAAGACGGTCAACGGAAAAATATTGTAACTAACTCGTATATTAAAATGCGATTAATTATCTCAATAATTAATCGCCTTCATTAATAGACTTGTTGGTTAAATAACTATTAAAATTTTGAGCGTAAATGCGATAGAACTTTATTCAAAAATTAATTTGAAAAACAATAAGAATAGTAAGAAAAACATTGACATTTAAACGTCAAAAATATTTCTGATAAAGATTGGAAAGCCCACTAAGATTTTTTCATTAAAAATTCATTCCAACTTTTGATCGACAACCCCGTTGTTTAACGGGCAGTGTTTGCTTTATTATTTTTTTTCTCAAAAATTAGTCGTTTTTGGCAAAATTTTAGAGAGACAAAAAAGTTTTAGAATACTTTCATCTACGTATGTAAAATTTTTCTAATGTATTTATCATCTGCATACAAAACATTTTAGCAAAAATGTAGAGGGGGTGGTTACGTTTAGTAGTTTAGAAGGGTAGGATGAAAGTACAAATAGGGTCAAAACGTGCTCTATTATGAGTTAAACATATTCCCCAAATTTCATTTTCCTAGCGTTTCTGGTTTTTGAGTAAAAGAAATTAAACCAAAATTTTCCGCCATTTTTGGAGGGGCATAGCTCCCCAGGGGGGCCGAAGTCGCCCATGGTTCATATATGAAAGTACCCTTAAAATTCACTAAAGAATCACCCCTTGAAGTTTGTTGCAGTCATTCAGATACACCTGTATAAATAAAATCAAACATTTTCATCGTATTTAAGATTCTTATTTACTTTATGAAACTTACGATGAACCTGTCTTCTACCATTGCTAAACGGTAAAAGATACTCAGTTGATAACATTTAAAATAACGATTTTGAACACAACTTCTCTAATGAATAATGTTTGTTTGTTTGTTTTTTTGACATCGTAGGATTTAAATTAATTAAAACACTTTTGCACATTAACGATGGAATTAATTATTATTTATTCTACTAGTTTCGGGGACTAATTATACCCATCTTCAAGAAGAAACCTTTATACAAGATAAACGTATTAAAATTAAACATCATTTGTCATCACATGTACACTTTTTATAAAAATTTTAGGTTAAACATTAAGGGCCGGTTGTACCATCCTCCTGATAAACTATCTAAGAGATAATTACCATGGTTACAGTGGTTTTAAGCGCTCGCATTGGCTAAGGTCCATTACTACCATCTTTTAGTTCAATTTATCTTATAGATAAACCCATCTACTAGCCAATCATAGCGCGTAAATAGCCGTAACCATGGTAATAATCCCTTAGATTAGAAGATGGTAGTAACGAGCCTAAGGCCCACTTTTACCACCTCCTGATAAATTTATCCGATAGATAAATCCAGTTCTTAGCCAATGAGAGCTTAAAACCATGGCAACTATCCTCTAGATAGTTTATCAGGAGGATGGTAAAAGTGCGCCAATTTATCTATCGGATAAATTTATCAAGAGGTGGTACAACCGACCCTAAAAATATCAATAATATAAAACTTACGTCAAATAATGAATACAATTTACAATCGCAGACTGAAAAACTTCCAAGATCAACTGAATTAAATTTAGAAATTAAACTATTGTTGAATATTGAATCAACTAATTATCGGAACACTTCTTTGTAGCACATATTAAGTTTTCACGTGGTTAAATGTGTACAGAGCTGGATAAAACTGATTTTGTTATGTAAAATCAAAAACCCTATTAAAATTTAGGAAAATTTCTTATGGTTGGTTTAGAGCGGGAATAAAGAATTTCAAAAATAAAAATAAGAAATAAAAACGTCGTAAAAATGATTTTTTGGGTAAATATGGAAGGGACAGAAAAGAAAAGGTAATTAGGTTTGAGGATTGGTGGATAGCCAAGGAACTAGAAAAGTTGCATCGTCAGGGTGCTATCTTGTCGTGACGATCTCGTTCTTTTCTAGGTGGTGTAAAGGGTTTTTTTAGGTATGAGTATAAGGGTCGATTAATTGGTTGAATTTGTTCATTGAGACATTCGATATTTTGATAAAATTTTCCTTAAACTTATTAATCTCATATCCCGCCAGCAATTCCATTAAATAGCTTTTTTCTACATTGTGGATCAAAGTCACGTTTTCGTTTTTATCAAATTTATGTGCTGTATCAAACATTATGTTTGCCAAAGTTTGAGTTGTTTCGTGTTAAATGTTCTTTTATTCTTGTGTGTAATGTTCACCCTGTTTCCCCAATTCTCTATTCTTATCCATAAATTTGATAGGCTCTTTGTTGTTGTTTAGGTTGTTATTTGTTTTGAATGTAAGTTTGATGTTGTTCCTTTAAAATACTTTTTTGTAGAGATATTGTATAGTTCTGTATTTAGTTTGCTTCTTATTGTTAAGTATCATGTGTTAATGATATACCATTGTTTAATTGATTTTTGTAAGTTTGTCTATTGATCATTTTGGTAATGATATTTATTGGAAATTTATTATTTGTTGCAATTTGTTTGATAATATTAATTTCCTTATTTAGTTCTTTTTGTGGGAGATTAAAACTTTAAAGCTCTATGTAGGTAGGCGTTAATGGCTGACATTTTGTGTTCATTGCAGTCTAATGAATAAAAGGGGGTGATATTATCGGTTTGTGTAGGTTTTCTGTAGATATCGAATTGTAGTTGTTCCATATTTTTCTTAATTTTGATGTCTAAAATCTTTATTCCCGCTCTAAACCAATCAAATTTAAATAGGGTTTTTGATTTTAAAAAGCTTGACATAACAAAACCAGTTTTAACCAGCTCTCTACACAGTGTTTCGATAATTAGGTGATTTAATATTCAACAATAGTTTAATTATCTAAATTTAATACAGTTGATCTTGGAAGTTTTTTAGTTTGCGATTGTAATTTAAGTGTTTAACCTAAAATTGTTAAAAAAAAGTGTACATATTGTAATGATGTTTAATTTTAATACGTTTATCTTGTATCCAGGTTTTTTTCCTGAAGATGGGGATAATTTGACGCCGAAACTAGAAGAACAAATAATAATTAATTACATCGTTAATGTGCAAAAGTCTTTTAATTAATTTAAATTCTCTAATGAAGGCACTTTAAGCTGTAAATTCAGGACATTTCTAATGTACATTTTCATGTTCTTAACTCGTTAACCTTTACGCATTTTGTTAAATTTTAACAGAATCATTAAATGTTTCAAATCATAAAAATCTCATTTTGAAAAAACTTTTGAAACTCATGTTATAGTAAATAAAAAGTATTTTTTGTTTCTTATTATATTCCTTACTTTATAATATATGATATTTATATGTTTTTTGTTTTAGCCACATCCGAAAATTCAACCGATGGCCTACGCTTATAATTTAGTTAATTTAATGTCCTAGTGCCTAATGAAATTAATATGGAAATATGGACCGTAGAAAATTTTTTTAAAAATCATCATAATTATACACCAATGTAAGAGTCAATACATACTAAATTTCTATTTAGTACAAAAAAAAAAGAAACAAAAAGATTCTATACAAATTGTAATAATATTCCTTTCCTAATCGACCTCCCTTTACCATGTTGTAGGTAGATTTATGCTATTTTGTTGTTGTTAATTTTTTTCAATTGATTTTCATCAATTTCCTTTTTTTGTCTGAAAATCAAAATAAAGCATTTATTTTAAAAAAAGTGTTCTTTTTTGTTAAGTTATTTATTTACAGAACTAATTATAATAATTAAGCTTAACAAAATATCAAAAAAAAATCTGGTCAATATAAAAAATAATCTATGAGCGTATATTATTTAATAACTTTTCTCGTTTTTTCTTATTCATTTCCAATCGTTTTAAAGCCTCTCGCCTATTTCTCTCAATTATATCCTGTTTTTTTTTCGCCTCCAATTTTGCTAAAGCCTGTAGACGTTTCTGTTCGATTTCTTCTGGAGAGCATTTAATTGGCGACTCTTCTACTATAAAAAGAAATTTATTAAAACTATTCGTTTTTTTAAATATTTTCATTACCTTTAGGTACTTTTAAAGGAATTGTCTCACTAGTCGATTGAAGATTATCACCACTTCTTTTTGACGGAGATATCACTAAAGTAGTAAGAAATAATAAAGGGTTTAATATAAAAACAACATAGATATTAGATTATATTTAAGCTATCAACATGCATAAAACAAGCTAAAAGAAACAAAAAACGTAAAACTGAAACCTCGCCATCTAAACTGTCTTCGGAAATTGAAAGCAATTGAATCTAAATTCAGAAGAAAAGTACAGAGAAGTATTGAAGATGCTTACTGAAAAGAATTTGTCCTGGTGAACTTATGAAAATAAGCAAACCAGAAATCTGAAACTGGTCGATAAAAAGATGCATAAAAGCTGTGATGTTAATGATATCAAAGATCTATTGGAGCGCAAGTATAACATTTAAAGTAACCCAAATGTTAAAATACAAAACAAAAGATCCTCTTCCTTTATACATCTTGGATTTTGCACCGTCAGAGGATGTAAAAAGAAACCATGAAATAACAAACATATTAGGAATGCGTGTCAAAATCGAAGAGTACAGAAAGCCAAAACAAATGCCCCAGTGCAAAAGGTGTCAAGGTTGGAGCCACACCAAAGCTTACTGCCACAAAAATCCGAGATGTGTTAAATGTGCTGGTGAACACTGGACCAGCGAATACACTAAAGCCAAAGAATTCCTAGTGATAAAACTAAATTAAATAAATAACAGCCGAATTAAGAGCTTTAACAGATAGCCACAAATATGAACTTAAAAGATCTTACTAGCGATGCCAGTACTGATTATTCTCTATGGAAGGCAATAAGAAAGCTTAAAGTTCTAAAAACATATACACCTCCAATTCGATATAATAATGGAAATTGGGCTAAGAGCAATCAAGAAAAAGTTAATTTGTTTGCTGAACATCTGAAAGAAACTTTTACATCAGACAGTCCAACAACTATACTAAGCAGTGTCCCTAGCGCAATTCAAAGTGATCAGCAGAGTAATATACCACGTGTAAGAATGAAAGAACTGTATTATGAAATACAAAAACTACATATAAAGAAATCAGTAGGCTATGACCAAATTAATGGAGAAACGTTGAAACATCTTCCAAAACGGGCGATTACAAAACTATTACACACGTTAAATGCCACTTAGTTACTATAGTAACGTGAGTTTACTGATCATTTCATTCATGAATTTTTCGAAACGAGCTTCCCGCTTAAAAATTCCTCATTATCTTTAAATACATAAAGCGATAAAATTAAAAAATGATACTTTGCAAATGATAGATAAAGCTCCATATTCCATATAAACATCGTTTCAATGGAAAGTCCGCTGCCCAGTTTATGATCCCTAATCTTCCTCTATCTCACCCAATTTCAAAAGAAAAGGTTGCAAATATGAAAAAACTTCTAAATCTCATGACTGAGGAAAACTGGGAAGATACTACCGAAGATTTCATTCATTGATACCCAACTGTTCTAACCTTACAAACAAGAAGTTTAGTAGAAGAAGATGACACAGTCTGTGACTGTTTAGTTCCTGAAGTTGTTGTTCAAATTTAATTAATTATTCATTAATTAATACGTTTCTTGTATTTTTAATAAACAAACTTTATCTACAAATCATTTTTTATTGGTGAACAAAATCAGGGATAAGACACTAAGAAATTTAAATCAACTATTCAAAGTTTTGATTCGTTGGTACAAAACCAACTTTATCATACATAATGGTACAAGACAACTTTCTGTCATATTCGTGCAAAATCATATAGCAATTAGGTAGTAATTAATTACTGTCCGAACCCGCCTACTATAATCAAAATTTTCAACATTAACGCTTACTATTTTGGAATTGAAAATTAACGCTTATTTTACGCAAATACACCATAAATGCGATACATCATTGGAAAGCTAAAAATATGCCCTTTTCATTAACGTCATAATCAAGTATAGTTTATATTTAAAAAAATACAACTTTGTGTTGTATCTCAAAAATGATCAAATAGTTTTAAAATTTTTCAACGGCAGTATGTTCTACTTAAAAAAGTGTCTTAAGATCGTATTAACCCCATTTCTCTAATTTCAAAAATAAACGAAATATGAACATTTTTTGAAATCACGAAAATTTGACTTTTTGGCTATAACTTAAAAACAAAAGAAGATAGAGATTTGGTCTTTACAGGATTGTATTAGTCTCGAAAAAAGAGACCGGGACATGGCACCTATTTTTTTCGTATCTCTAATAGTTTCTGAGATAGCCTATAATAACACCCAAATTTGCCCACCCTGTACAGTGTGTTAATTAATTATCGTACCCGACGTCGTCAATCCAAGTATGCAACCAAATACGCAAATTGCGTATTGCAATACCAATACTGTGATATTGGTTGCATACTTGCAA